TATAAAATAGCCGTCGTACAAAAAAAGTATCTGCACTGAAAAAAATGATCTAGTTGGATTAAATAGTAATTTTGGTGGAAAATAGACGAACTAGACTTTTCTGATTAAATCTATTAGAATTATAACTGAGATAACTAGAATTTTGATTGATATAATTATTTTATTTGATAAAAATAAGAGTTCTAATAGATTTTACTAAAAATATAATTGTATCAATCACAATTCTGGTTGTCTTAATTAGAATTCTATTAAATTTAACCAGAAAATTTTAATTCGTTCATTTTTAACCAAAAATTTTTTCAGTATGCGTATTATATTATAAATAGTGAGGATGCAGCGCCGGATGAAATACATTAGATGAGTTGATTAGATTTTCATTAACTCTCTTTCTCTCTTTTTCAAATAAAATTGGTTTCATATGTTACCAGACATACACTAAAAAAAAAAAAAAAATTTGTTCAACAAAAAAAAATTATTTGACTCAACAAAATGCTGCGGTTGAATACATGGAAATAAATATCAATGTAATAAGAGCAAAATATTTTGTTCAATTATTATGATGATTTTAAATTTGGTTGAGCTAAATTGAGTTATTGCAGACAAAATGTTTATTTGATTTTAGAATATATATTTAATTGAATAGAATTTCATTTTGATGATCCATTAAATAGCATTAATTAAAACAAAAAAAGGATGCGTGTCAAACAAAAAATTTAATAAAAACAATTAAATTTAAGTTTAAAATAATCATATATCATTTACGCTCAACTTCTTTATAGTTGAAATTTGTATACAATATTATTGTAAAATTCATGCACGTTTTATTTGACTAAATATAATAATAATCCTTGTGACAAAATAGACAGTAGATCGAACTTTATACTTATTTGATATGACACAATATCCTTTTATTGAAATGAAATATTTTGATTATCTCGTAACAATTTAAGTTGAATAAACTATCTTTCTTGCTTGTTCAAATTTATATTGAGTGTGAAGACGTCTTAGTTTGACAAAAATATTTGTTTCACTTGAAAGTCATTATAATTAATATAACATAAAAAATCTTATCGAAAACTAATTTATTTGATTAAATCGTTATACTTTAACGAAAAAAATCATTCTTATTGTTATTATTTTTATTTTTCCAGTTCAATTTATTATTTACTGGTACACCTATATTCTTGTCTTATTAACTATAATTAATTATTATTGAAAACGCATCGCATCATCGCCAAGATTTGAACCTACGATCCCTTAGAACAGTAGCCTAATACACTTACGCTGAGCTAATCGTATGCTTGTAATTGTCATTACTAATGTTATTTATACCTTTTACCATTTGTAACCATTTTTAATTTAATTAAATGCTTCTGCTAACAGTTTAATATTTAAAAAGAATTAATATTTAAAAAGATTACATGGAAACGAAATAATACATGTTTTGATCTTGTCAACTCAATATTATCTATTATACATTTTAATTAATTAATAATTTTTTTTCAGTGTACCGCTCTATATAAGTTTTATGAACCAAGTACTTAAAGATATAGCAAAAAGAATTCACAGATTATCTATATGTCTAGATTTATCTGTATGTCTGAATTATTTTCCAGATCTCTCTGCAGAAAACAATTAATAGTAATTTTCATTTTTGTAACTGATTTATTAATCCAAATTTTGTTATTATCGCTGCGTCTGTCTCTTTTGAAAAATAATTATATATAGTTTTTAATTACTCCAAGTAAAATAAATCTCATGAAATATTAGAACTTTAAAATAAATAAATTAATAAATTCATATTCCAATTATTTCAATATTATTTCATTATTTTTATAACTTTTTATGCATAAAAAAATTATCGTCGGTTATAAACTTAGACTACGAAACATACGCGATTTAACGGATTATTACTCAATAATCTTTCAATAAAGAATATAATTCTCGTATATTATAGCTTAATAATATCGCGTTAATTAAAGTAAATCATCTATCGATCCAATTGTTTCTTCGAATTTCAGTGTCATTGGCTTTCGTCCTAACTGGAATTTTTTGCCTTCTTTAGGTTCTTTCATTCCTTTTAGTCTATCTGGCAATGTTGGATTCTACCCAATGTTTGTAATTCTGCTCAAACAAAACTGTCAAATAAAACTGTCCAGGAAGAGATTACAGCCAGAGTCTTCGAATTTGGAAGATTATCGGTAAGTGCAACACAAGCTTTTCACGATATATCGTTGCCACTGCTGCTGCGATTCAAATATATTTACGAAATAAAGCAGTAGCAATAACTCTAGTGTTTGTACAAATTACAACCAGACAGATCCGAATCCAGAATCTTGTAAAAGACTATCATTTACATAATGAAATAGGATTATTGTAAAGAAATGTATGACAAGAATTGTATAATATTTACAATAATCATATTTATATCAAACATATTAGCCGAGGGTCTTGCAATTAAGGTAAGTATAAACGTATGGTATTTTTTTAATCATTATCTTTCACATTAAATTTAATATAATTATAAGATAAAAATTGAATATAATTTAGAAAAGAGAGATAAATAGTTACGAAAAATAGTTGATTAATACTCTCCGCAAAATATCATGAACAAAGAATTAAGAAAAAGAACAACAGTTGCGAAAGTTACATCGCTTTGTAAGCGCAAGCTTTAAGCATTTTATGTATGCTCGAATTGTCCCTTTTTTTATTTGAATAGAAAACATTTTAATCTTCTTTTGTAGGGTGATTCGGAGGGGGCCCTTGATTAATGAAAAACCTGTCGGCCTCGTATCATGGACAGAAGTTTGTTTCCCTTATTGACTGTGTACATTTGCGTACCTTCGTATATCGATTGGATTAAGGAGAACGTCATAAATTCAATTGATATTCATTATTCGTACACTAACAATCGCTAATTCACACAAGCCGAATATATTAGGTTACATTTATCCTTTTTTTTACCGCTTCATCGTAATAAATATACAGTCATCATTAATTTTCTTATCTTGCACGGACTAACGTGTTATTGTCGCTATATATGTCATATCTTTCTAAACTGATTACTAATATGATAAAGCTATCAGTATATATGTTCCTGAAGATCAATCCTGTGTCAGGAACAGTAATTTAAATAAGAAATTCGTAATACAAGTACATTAATATTGTTAATTCGTGTTACAAATATGATGAATTGATTTTTCCCTCATCACAAATGTTTTATCAGTATTTTAAAATCTTAAAATTGATCTTTTTTACAATTTATTAGCGTGTATTTTATATATCCATTATTCAACGAAAAATTAAAAAGAGATTATAATCTTATATTATATTATATTATATTATAAATTAGAAAGAGATTTATAAATATCAAATAATAAAATGTCAGAGAAATGACGAGAGTACAAAAATATTGAAGATTATAAAATTAAATAACTAGGATAAAAAATTTTATTTATCGTTAAATTTAAATTTAAGTTATGTATACTAAAAATCTGCATATAAATGTCTAAATCGTGTAATTAAAAAAGATCTATAATAAAATGCAGTGTAATTAAATTTCTAATTAAAAATTTAACAGTATCTTTTCATAAGAATAAATGACCTTTAATTCAAATGATTGGCTAAGCTAATTGTAGGAACAAACTACAAGTTGTCCAGATTATCTTGCGTTTTTATTCATCTAGCGGAATTAAATCAGGCCATAAAGAAAATTAGAGCTACAGAGTGAATAGCATGCTAAGTAACATCATTAGATAAAGTCGTCAGTAGAGCCATTAGGCAACGTCACATACTTCACAGCCATATTCTGTCTATAATTAGTTGCTGCACACACGATCATGACTATTCATATAATCTGCTCCGCCGCCTTGACGATAATTAACTTATCCCTGCAGCGCTGCTAACTTACCATGAACGCGCCAACCGTAATTTGCACTTGACTAATTACAGAGACGTTACGCGACATTACAGGGATGCTGCGATTAACGTTTCGTAATATTTTTACGTGGGTATAAAAAGCGTTTATTTATTCAGTAACACGTGTAATGCGCACGGACAAAACGAGAGAACTTTAATATTATCGCGGTAACACATTCACCGTTGACATAAACTGTTTATGATACATTGAGTACAAACGCGTGAAATCTGCCGGTACTGTTTATGCACGAGAAAATACTTGTTGATCTGAAACGATCTTTCTATTTGCACGCGTCACTGCGTCGAGATTAACGTTTTATTAGTTCAATAAATATACATAGTGCAGTTGCGGCAAACGCTAATAAATTCATCGATCGCTTGTCGGTCAAATCAACAGACTCAATTATCATTCTGAACGAGGCAATGTGACTCAATATATGTGTATAACTCCATATTTCTGCCGTTAGCAATTTCACCAAACCAATAATGTTTCTCCATATATTTTTAAAAAGTGTGGTATATCGATTAATAAATTTCAGAGTGCTATCGATATATTGGCCAAATAAAAAAATCTACAATTTTAATTCAATTATAAAAAATTGCACTTTGGATAAATTGTGCACTATCCATAAATTATTTACAAATATTTACGTATAGGAAATATTCATAAAACATTATTAATTTTGAAAGAATCAAATCGCGCATTATACATTTTTATACTGAAGACGGAAAAGGCGATTTTGCTAAAATTTCTGAAAATTTATAGATAATCTTCTAGATATAAACATCCGAAACAAATTTTGTTAAAATCAAAATAATTTTGTAGGAATCTCAAGCAATGTGTGAATAAAATGTTTCGACATTCTAATAACTAGTTTGTGAACGTCCTACTATCGTCCTAATTATTTTAATAATCTAGCAAAATTATTTTCATATAATATTTGTATTTAAGTTAAAGTTTTAAATATTTCAGCAAAACCTTTCTTTCCGTGTACAAAAGTAATTTGATTGCTTGTATTACCATCGCTATAAATTATCATAGTTATAAACAATGTAATAATTTCTTTATTTTCCCTAAAAGATGAAATTTTCTTCTATAAAAAATAAAACCGATCTCAGCCATCGCTCAACGAGAATACAACAAAATGGAGAGAAAGAGAGCTACGCGTTAATAAGCGGCGTCGATATTCACAGACGGATTTGATATTCTACGCAAACTATCAATCGATGCTCTTTTATCACAGCGAGTCATGCGCATAGCGTCGTAATATATAGCCGCTTATTTTTCCGAGGATAAGCAGAAGAGAAGAAGCGCGCTCGTTCAACCATTTCTGACGATCGCTTTAGCAAAAGCATTGTTGAAGTTCAATGTACCTCAATAAATCATGCAATTGTTAAGAAAATCGCAGAATAACGTCGACTCTGGCGCGGCGTCCTCCTTTGATAAGTGTACTTACTCCATCATACAGCCACAATGAAATCACTATCACTGACCTCATTTCATGCGTAAATTTGCAGCGAGCTATTAAAATAATACTTCATATACTCAGTTTGAACAAATAAATAAAATTAAATATTAAAATAAAATTAATCATGAAAAATAAATAGTAGAGGTAAATTATAAAATTTATTATATTAATTCATCTATAAAAAT